AGCTCTATTTTAAGGAGTTTCTACACCGAGCAAGCTAATTGAAACGGTCTTACCCAATGTAACTTGGGAAGTCCCTACTCACACCTGAGAATTTAAGACAGCCACTTCATACAAACCACACACATGCTGTAACTCCAACTCTCTGCCCAGATCTCAGCCCTAATTTTTTGCAATTTATGTTCTGTACATTTGACTTGCTGCTGCCTCACCTCACCCCCTTCAAGGGGCACCCCTGGTGCACACCCACTCAGAGCTGAGAATTCTGATTGCAGCACAATATAATTCCCATCTCTATTCGATTTAACCCTTCCTTTTTCTGACTCTTCCTCTGGATGCCATCACAGTTTCTAGTTTTTCCAGATATAAGCACTCCTTGGAGCAAGGACTGGATTTATTTCTGAAGGCACTATACACATTTACAGAGCTGCACACAGAGATTCTGGGGTTTGGCTTCCACTTTTAGCATTCATTTATCATTATAACATCCTAAAAACCTGTATTTGAACTGAAACTAGACACACCGGAGAAAAAATTAGTTGTTTCATTAACAATCAAGCACAAGTACTTTTTAAACAAACCCATTTATTGTTTGGGTCTTACTTCACCATCATCATCAAGGCAAGTCCCAAAGGATGTATCCTTGTAGTCAAGCAACACCCAGAGAGATCTGTAGCCACCTACTACAAACACCACTACCAATAAAAGTGACCCACAAAACACCAGCAGAATGGGATTTAGGCTGGATTTTCAAAGCCAGGTGCCTCACTCCCTTAGGTTCTTTTGGAAATCTCAATCAGTGTATGATTATAGCTGACCTAGTGTCTCAGATGTCAAAAGCCCCTTTAATCTTGTCACATTCTGGTATTCTAATGAACAAGCTGATTTATTTTATTTATAGAATAATTCACTTGTTTTGCTTTAAACTAAAGACTAGAATCTACATATGTAAGTAAACACCTTAACTGACACTGGTTTTACTTACAAGTTCTATAGTAGGAGATTCGATTCTATTAGCATTCTTCACACTGTGGAAACCGGCCATAATGCAAACTCCTCACACATGCTCACTAACAAAGCTGGAGATAGGGATGTAAAATCCTGATTAAAAACTTAACTGGTTAAACACACTGTGGGGGCTGCTCCAGCCCAGCAGCCGCAGCCCCCTTCCCACTTCCCCTTTAACCACTTACCAGGTTAATTCTTTGGAGACCCACTGCCATACATATTAGCACCTAGACAAGATCTTGTACCACTGATTAACTTCTAAGGGCTTTGGAGCAGACTGCTAAATGGCCACTGTTATACCCACTAGTGTTGTAATCAGGGATGTAAAATGCAGTTAAAAATGTAAACATATTACTGCTAAAAATGATAGCAGTTACCTGGTTACATGCACTGTGGGCTCTGCCGCATAAAGCTTTCTACAGCTAAACCTCCCCAAGAGTAGGACTGACACAGGCTGTTAAGGGTGAGGCTAACCAGTTAACCTTTTACATCCCTAATACCCACCTGGAAAAAATGAGGTAATGCTTCAAGATGTAGATTATGGACTACAAGGCTTCCATAGAAATTAACTCAAGGACTAGTGGATTGGATGCACTAATGTGGTATATTATCTGCACTGTCCTAAATGCAGGTGCACTAGATTTTAATGAGCGGAACCTCCTCACTGAGGATTATTCATGGGGCCAAATCTCAGTCTTATTTGTTTAGCAGGGAAAACATGTGGCAAGAGATACAGGGTAAATATGGTTACTCATCTTTATGTATCTGTTATTCTTTGAAAGGTTATTTGTTTCCATTCCAATTAGGTGCATGTGCACATGCACCTACATAGTAGCTGGAAGATCTTCCCCCTAGCTGCTAGCAGTAGGGTCACTCCAGGCACCTCCTGGAGTGGCACCTTCATGGTGCCCAATATAGAGCCCTGCCAATCAGCCCCTTCCTTAGTTCCTTCTTGCTCACTACTCTGGGGGGGCGGTAGGCAAGTGGAATGGACCAGGGATGTTAAAGACTAGTCGACTATCCCATTAGCATTTGCTTACCCTAACCCCCCTCCCCCTGCTGCCTCTATGAGGGGGACTTCAGAATGGCAGCACTGCACAGCTGAGCTGAGGATCAGCTGTGCGGCGCTGCCACTTTGAAACCCCAAGGCAGCATTTCAAAGAGGCAGCCACTGCCGCCAGTCCACTTTAAAACGCCCGAAGGACTGCCCAGCTGACTCCAGGTTCTGGGGAAAGGCCATGTGGAGCCCGGGATCAGCTGGGGAGTCCTCAGCTGACCCTTTGAAATGCACGCAGCTGATCCCCAGCTCAGTCCCCTCTTATTATTAATTTAACCCCTTCCTGACTTTCATGGGTAGCCTCATGGGTAGCCTTTTCCCAAGGCAATCGGTTCCCCTTCTGAGGTGGAGGCCAGCCAAACATTCTAGTCCCCTCTCTATAGAAGGCAGACCAACATTCCCAAAACCCTACTCCACTTTACCAAGTCAGCAGTTATCTTCCAAAGTCTTTGGTCTTCCTTTGCTTGTGGGACAGGAAGGATCCTGAAGGAACGGATATTCTTCTTCAGCACACTTGTGTGCAACATACAACTGTGCAGTTTGCTCCAGCCATTGGCTACGGAAAGCAGGATGCTACTCAGTTCCACTCTCTTCAGTACAGTGTGCTTAGATAGCAAATTCTCCTGGGCCTGGGCTGCTTTGTGCCTATAACGCACCATGCTCCCATATGGTGTAGAAAGCATTATCTAAACCAGTGTTTCTCAACCTTTTTTGCTCATGCCCCCCGTCTGAGCCTCATTCATCATATGCCTGCAGTTAAGTTTGGGTGGCCCCCTCAGAAACTTATTGTGGCCCCCCCAATGTTCTGTTTTTTTCCATGTGGCCCCCTAGAAGTAAGGTGTGGCCCCTTGGGGAGCCATATGGCCCACGTTGAGAATCACTGATCTAAACAGAGCTGAACTCGTGAGACTTGTTTTATAACTAGCT